TGCCCCAAATACTTCCAGCAGAGAGGAGCCAAATAGCGGCGGGGCGGCTGGCCGCACCTTCCCCGAGCGGATCCCATTGAAAATAACCCCCCCTCTTGTTTCCCCCCCCGCCTTTGGCTGTGCGCAGAACTCTTTTTGCAACTTGATGTGCTTGTAGACTGTCTCACCCAGCTTGTACGGATTTATTTCCTAAACAAGATGAGGCCTTTACACCCATATAAGACCGCTAAGGAGTTGGTGATGTGGATGGGGCTATGCACTATAACCACTTGACTTGAAATAAATTAAAAGAAACACACCCCAAAATGGCATCAAATAAAAATTTCTGTGTAAAGCAAGCCTGAGGACAGCAATTCTTACTTCTTTACCTGAGAGCTTTTTTAATCTGCGGAGAAGCAGAACAGCTTGCTTTCAGGGGCCAGGCAACAGACGCGATGGTTGTGACCACGCAGCTGGAGCCAGGCTGCAATAATTTGCCTTTTGAAGCACTCCCCCGGTGAGAAGGCCAGTGCAAACTGCAAAAGCAACTTCAGCTGCTTTGGATGCAGAATCTCTTCTCTTTGGTGCTAATTCCAGTTTATGCCAAGAGCCAGGTGAATCCCGAACCCCCCAAAGCGTGCAAACACGCCGGGCAGAGCAAGTCACTACAGCTACCCGTGCGGCTGAGCAACTTCTTTGCTTAACTCTCCAGATGTGGCTCAAGGCCACGGGGCATCACTTTGCAGAGCAAAAATGGGAGCAAGCCCTCCAGGGTCGCAGAGCTGGGCTTTAACTGAAAAAACATTTTTCTCTCCTTGCTGAAACCTGGAATAATGAGCTAAACTGCTGGCAGCTGGTATCTGGAACTGGACCAAAAGTTTTGCTGTGTTTAGTGAGCCTGAGGTTAAGCAACAGGTTTGACTCATTTGTAACCGTGTCTGTGTGTGTGTGTGTATTGGTATAAGCGTATTCGTCTTTTTGGGAACAAGCTAAGAAAAGGTTGTGTCCGGGGCGATGTGCACCAGAAGACGACCAGGAGCAGCAACAAAGTATTGCCTCGGTGCCAGAAGCCCTGGGAAAGTGCGCCTAACGTGAAGACTTGAGTCAGTGCCAAGACGGGCAGGTGCCCGTGAGCTATCCGAGTGCAGATATTGAAACTAGGGCAAGGACGTGAGAGAGGCAAGAGAATCTCGATGCAGAGCGCGGCTTGTAGTAACGCAGCAAAGCAACTGTAATCTGTAAACACAGCTGTATTCTCACACAATAAGGTATGTAAGAGAGGACGAAATATGAAATAAACAATCTTGCTTCACTACACGCAAGGTGCGTGCTTCAGTCCCCACAAGTGGCGCCCTGAATCAGGGAGCTGAAGAGTGAAATCCGGTGGGGAGCCCAGCTGAACTCGACAGAGGCTGCGCAGCGTTTTTTGCCGTTGCCTTCACGGAAGGTAAGCAGCTGGGAACGTGGGCAGTTCTCTACCGGCAGAATATGCATCTGTATACAAGGTTATGCAGCGTTTTCTAGAGAAACGGCAAGTAACTGTAAAGGCAGAACAATTAAAGGAGCTTTTAATTTGGATCTCCGCGCATGTTGAGGAAGCTGATACGAGTAATATATACAGTAAGGGGACTTGGGATACCATTGGAGTGTGTTTGTGGAACGCCGCCACCTCGGATGATCCCGTCGCCCCTTCCTTGTTAACGACCTGGCGACTTGTATTTGACGCGTTAGATCAGAATCACCAGGGAAGTATGCAGGAGGCAGCTAAGACACCTTCTGCTCCTCCTATGCGGGGCAGTGAATCTGTGGACCATTTGACCCTGGCCCTGTAGACCCTGAAAAAGAACCAGATTTATTTCCTCCGCAAACTTCTGCACCTGTTATATCAATGCCGGTTGTTACGCCTGTACCTCCAGTAGATCGGTGGAAAGACATGCGAGCTCAGGCGTTGGCAGAAGGAGACCTTGAATGCCTTCAAGCCCTCCCGATGCCTGTCCTCCTGTGCGAAGGTCAAGCCCCCACCTGGGAAAGTTTTAATTTTAGTTTAATAAAGCAACTGCGGAAAAAGTATCAAGGACTCTGGACTTAACTCTCCCTATGCACGGGGCTTGATACAATCGGTTTTTAATAATATGATTTTAACACCTAATGACTGTC